GTCTTTTTGTCTATTCTGTCTTTTATTCTTTACTTTCGAGGATAGTGGACTTTACGCGCACGAAATCCATCCAACCATTGATAAAAAAAAAAAAAAAAAACATTCCACGAAGTCACTCACAAGCAAATACGAGGGGGGGGAGGGGCAAAGAATTCGAAATAGGCCTATAGAGAAAGACGAGAAAGAAGAGGAGGAGGAGGATGAAGAAAAAGATGAAGCAGCAGCAGCAGAAGAAAAAAAGAAGCGGGAAAGAGACACGAGGAGAATAAGGAACAACAGAAGAAAAGGCAGAAATAAAGAAGCAACTGAAGAAAAGGCAGAAAAAGAAGCAACAAGAAAAGGCAGAAAAACAAAACACAAGAAATAGAAGCAAAAGAAGCAGATAAAAAATAAGGAAAAAAGGAAGAAACAGATAAAAAAATAAGAAGAAACAAGAAAAAACAGAAAAGGCAGAAGCAATAGAAGAAAAGAAAGAAAAAAAATATTTCGGAAGTCATTTCACGCGGCGCCGAAGAGGAAACCGCAAGTGGCGCTCTGGCCGCCGACTGACCGCCCGCGCGTGCCCGAGTTGGCGCCGGCGATTAATTCCCCTTTTGATCGACACCGAAATCACTGGTGTACGACCCCCCCCCCCTTGAACACCGAAATCACTGGTACGACCCCCCCCCCTTGATCGACACCGAAATCTGTCTTATTTCTTCTTCCCTATCCCTCTTCTTTTTTTTCGTTTCCCTTCTCCTCTCTTCTATCTCCTCCTCTTCCCCCCCCCGCCTCTCTCTCTCTCTCTCTCTCTCTCTCTCTTCTCTCTCTCTCTCTCTCTCTCTCTCTCTCTCTCTCTCTCTCTCTCTCTCTCTCTCTCTCTCTCTCTCTCTCTTCTCTCTCTCTCTCTCTCTTCTCTTCTCTTCTCTTCTCTTCTCTTCTCTTCTCTCTTCTCTCTCTCTCTTTCTCTCTTCTCTCTCTCTCTCTCTCTCTCTCTTCTCTCTCTCTGTCTCTCTCTCTGTCTCTCTCTCTCTTCCTCCTCCTCTGCTCCTCTTCCTCCTCCTCCTGCTCCTCTTCCCCCTTCCCCTCCCCCCTCCTATCCTTCATCTCTCCCCTTCTCCCCCTCCCCCTTCCTCCTATTCCCTCTCTCCTCACCACAGGAAGTGGGGAAAGGAAGCAAGGTCCACCACAAAGTCACGGTGGAACAGTCAAGGTATGGTGACTGGGCGAAGGGAGGAGAGGAGAGGAGAGGAGAGGAGAGAAGTGAGAGGAAGAGAGAGGGAAGAAGAGGAACGAAAGTGGGAGGAGAGGAGAGAGAGGGTGAAGAGAGAAGTGAGAGGGGAGGAAAGAAAAGGAGACGAGAGGCAGGGAGAGGAGAGAAGTGGGAAGAAAGGAGAAGAAAAGAGAAGAGAGAATTGAAGGGGGAGGAGGGGAGAGGAAGCGAGATGGAAGGAGAGTAGAGAAGAGAAGCGAAAGAGGAGAGGAAAAGAGACTTGCCTCAATCCGTTGGGTCTCTCTCGGCGATAGAGGATGTACGGTAATGATGTACGGCGGCGGTGATGTCTTATGGTGATGTATCGTGGTGATGACTTCGTGAGGTGATGGTGGTAATCATGTCAAATGGTGAAGATGCTTTCACTTTACAAAATTCCAACTCTCCTTTTTCCCTTCCAATGTGGCATCTTAAACAGCTGTTTAGAAGCTGATCTTGACCACTGCACTTCGGGAAAAAAAACACAGGCTATACAGACAAGGTGTACAATTTTCCGTACCCAGTGAGAGATTATTGCCACTGACTTTCGCCGTAACCACATGTTTCGAACAACAGATTTATGATGCTAAGATTGCATGTGCAAATTTCGAAGACTTTTTTTTATTTGTATTATTTTCGACTTTAAATCGAGGATAAAATATCTACTTTTGAGTACTAAAATTAATAATACGGTTAAGTACAGTTTATGAAAATGTATATGTATATGTTCTCAATACTTTCGAAAACCCACTTTAGATAAACAACACGTTCGTATAAGCGGCGCCGACTCGGGTTTCGGCGTCGTAAAAACCGCAAGAATGTGGGGATGTGTGTTCTTTATGTTTCTGAGAGAATAGCATCATAAACCCGTTCTTTATAGCTCTACGTAATAAAAGAAGAAGAAAAAAAGGAAAATGGAGTGAAACGCACATTTCACACCTACTGTGTACACTCTTGGGGTTTCTCTTGAAAGAATGCAAGTGATGAAAGCGGAAATTTACTCGTCTTTTACTTATTATGTTTTTTTATTCATTATTATCATCACTCTTATTCTTAGCATTGTTACTAGTAGTATTAGTAGTAGTATTGTTATTATTATTATTATCATTATTATTATTATTATTATTATTATTATTATTATTATTATTATTATTATTATTATCATTATTATTGTAGTAATTGAGAGCATAGCGTAATATCGGCGTTGATGATACATAATGATTTAATTTCCAGTGTTATTTAAGTGATTTCCAATTTCATTTTGTTTCA